ATCAAAGATTAAAATAGAGCTCACTAGTGACCAGGTTTCCTAGGCCAAATTGAAGCTTAGTGCTGAGGCAATTACTCAGGTAATTCAGACCCAAATGGGTTTTCTGAAAATGGAGCTGACATTTATTGAACACTTACTATGTGCTGAGCTATATCGTGAACATTCTATGTGTTCTATTGACTAATCCTAAAAGTATCCCCGTGAACTACATGGGCTATTATCCTGACTTTATAGATAAGGCTGTTGAAACTTTGAAAAATGAGATAACTTGTCCAGGGTTATTCAGTAAGTGACAGAAGCAGTGCTGAAACCTTAACTTTGACAGTAGAGTGTTGCTTTCACCCTCTGGATAGTATTACCAGTCATACCTTTGCCAGAGATATTTGGCATATAACATTTCCTCTTTGTTGGTAAAATCTTGACTAATGGAATGAAATGAGATGCTACAAAAGTATTTTCCTTCCTTTGCCTGATAAGATGTGCTACACTTTTGGCCAGACTGACAAAAGTAAAACATTTTAGGAAGACCAACGAGGCCAAGGACCAACCAATCAACCAACCGACAAAAACCAGTGTAGCTTATGCTTTTGAAACCTTGAGCTGCAAATAAGGTCTGAATGGTATGAAATATTAAGTGTGGTGGACTTAGTAGACTCTTCCTGAACAGAGGTTGGTAATTTTATAGACTTCAGAATTCATATTTTTTGTGTGTGATGAGTCTTTCTCACATGTATTTAATCTGTATAATAATATCCACTCTAGCCCAGGGAGCACGATATGAACACCCTTCCATTGGGAGCTGTAACTTTCAGATACCAGACCTCATGTTTATCCAGCTTCTTAAATCATGGTCTGCAGAATGTTCCAAACCAAAAGAGAGAAGCTAAGTATACTCTGAAAACATTCCTTGTCCACGAATTAAAAGCTACAGCTGTGTGGGTTTGTGATACTCTGACCTAGGTTGATCAGAGTGAGTATTTTCTCCTGTGGAGGACTTTTTAGATGTCTTGTAAGTATATTAAAGGAATTGTTTTATCTCTAATGTATATTAAAATGACTAAGGCTTCAAAAATATTAATTACTTTTGCTTACAAGGAAGAGATCTGAGAGTGATAATTTTAGTATCACTGACTGTTATGCCCCATAATGTAAGTCTCTGTAAAACCCTGTTTGTGAAACTGTATGTTTAATTTCAGGACTGTGGCTTTTGCGTAGAATGTAAATACGCAACTTTAAAAAGGACGCAACAGTTCTGTTTGATATTTTAATTGTATTAGTATCAATGCTTCATTTCTCAGTGGTGACTAGAATTGGAGCAGCAGATGCAGCAGATAGTCCTGAAACTTCATTTTTGGTAAACTTGAAACTTCCCAGACTTTTATCATTCACTTTCTTGGTTTGGTTGTCAGTCAGGTTAGTGGTGAGCTGGAGGAGAAGAAACGGTAATGAGAATCGAGGCAGTCATGGGGCTGCGTAGTCTGGGGGGTCAATAGCATTGAAGTCTCAGGAAGGGTAGGTTACAGGCAACTTGTGAGATGTGCTTTTTGTCAGCCTCCTGTACCATCTGTTTTCACTGAGGTAGCATAGCAAAAACCTCTTAGATTTATGTCATTAATGTACCGCAAATATTTTCCTTTAACAATCCAGTGATTTGTACTGGAGATTTGAAAGCTGCTAGGTAAATTGATCACAGATTACTAAGTTAGTTGACAGGCTTGGCCATTCTGCTTACTTAGCTGGAATAGTAGAGATGCTTTGTAACCTTCCTGTTAAAAAAAAAATTGCACGCGTGCATTTGGGGGTATCAGCCAGAAGCTGACTTGACTATTTCTCTAGTTGTGTGACACCTACCAGGACTCAGAGCCACACGACCACCCCTGCTCCCAGTTCTCCTAAGTCATGAGTTCTCAGCAGTTCTGTCCCCTGGGGGGTAGAAGTTGGAGATGGCCCAAATATCTTACTCTTTTTATGTATAAAGCACAGTATATACACAATACATAAGTAGATACAAGTTGTATTTGTGGCGTTAAAATTTCATGGAGTGGTAATTAGGAAAAATGTCTAAAAAGGTAAGATGCGTGGGAGAAATAATGAAAAATAATTGAAAAGCACTGCTGTTGCTCTATCCCAGTGATTTTCAACCTTTTTCATCTCATGGCACACATAAACTAATTAATAAAACTCTGCAGCAAACCAAAAAAGACATCTTTTGCCAGTCTGACAAAAAAGTAGGTATAGTTTTGATTCATTCACATTGGACAGCTATTGTTGTGTTGGTTATTGTCATTTTTTTTTTTGTTTGGCAATCTAAGGGAAAAGAGGTCAGTGTTAGGTTAGGTGGCTCAGGAGGCGGCATAAGAAATAAAGAGTCGAGTGAATCAGAAAAGAAAGAAAGGAAAGGTTTATTTCTGCGTCCCCGGGAGACCCACGTATCCCCAAAGACAGGGCTCGTGGATTCACGCCAACAGGGAGGGGGGCGCTTTTTTTATACTGTGGTTGGGTGAGGGGCGGGGACATGAGCTGAGGTATTCAGCTGAGGAAGTTTCAGCTGCAGGGGGTCAGCAAGGAAGGAGTCAGTGTCTGTGTCTGGCATGCTGATCTGTTAGAAATGCCAGGGAGAGTCCATTATCTCATCACATGTCTGCATGTATCCGATCCTGGGCTCCCCCCGGACCTAACAGTCAGTGCCCCTGACTAAATAGTCAGGTTTAGCATAATTTAACAATTTTTGTGGGGCACAGGCTGAAAAATCTATCTATCTAGGTAAAACTTGAGTAGAGAGAGGGAACAAAATAGTTACATTAAAAGAACTAAGTTGGAGTAATTATCACCACGGTAAGGAATAACAAAGCTTGGGATCAGAAGGTGTTAGACGGCCTCTGTGGGAATGGGGGTGGCGGTGGATCTAAGCCCTCCCTCATGAGTGGCTGTCTGGGTCTGTCTCTCAGGAAAATAATAAAGTTGGTAAACTCTGCCTTTGATCTCCTTAAAGCCTCCTGCTAATAAAACTACATTTAGCTAGCTGTTTAATGGGAAAGCTTGTTATAAGCCAGTTTTCACGAAGGTGAAAATGACTGATGATAAATTAAGGTGTTATGATTTTCAGGGGCACTTGCATTTGATCAGTGGGCCCTCCTCAGTGTGAGAAAGTAGGAGAGGCTTGAAGGAATGATTGCACTGGGCCTGCAGAAGCACATGCCCAGCAAGTATCATCTCTCGCCGTAGTAAAGAGTGCCTCACAGACGCATGCACAACTGTTTTAAAAATGTGCGCAGGGGCATATAGTATGAATAGAATATAAACAAAAAGTATCACTGAATATATAATGCTTCATTATTATTATTACCTGTTTTGTCAAGCCACCCATGCTAAAAGCTACTACCATATGAGAAGCCTTATTCTGAAAAGTCTTGTTCTGAAAAGAACTATGGTGCTAGCTATATCAGAGGGTCACCAGACCTGGTATGCAATGGGAATCCCCACATGGGCCATTATATAGCACATGGACCACAGTCAGAGGGGGGCCTGCAGAGAGCTCCTTGAGAGTTTTGGGAATTTGGGCGGAAATCCTGTGAGTAAAACATTGGCTACAAAACTATATTTGCTTCAAAGTGATTCGTCAGAAGCGGTTGAGAATGATTCATTGGAACTTTAAATCTATAATTTTTAAACTCTTTTATCTACTAGAGTATCATTAGAAATAGGATTGACACTAACATTTCCAAATTTGTTGTTTCTTACCTGAGAATGAGCCTTTTATTCTAGGCTTTTCCATCCTGTGGTAGTGACTACTACTTCTGAGTTGTCCCATACAGTGCCTCTGACATTCTATGTCTTTGGGTGTCTAAAGAAATGCTTTTTAGATAATTGCTGTACATGTCTTTTTAAAAAATATATATATTTATTTGGTAGGGATTTATTTGCGTAAGAACAAGATGCTAAAACCTTAAAACAGTTTTTTCTTATAACGAAATAAATACATGAGCCCTGGCTGGTATGACTCAGTTGGTTGGGCGTCATCCTATGCACCAAAGGTCACTGGTTCGATTCCTGGTCAGGGAACATGCCTGGGTTGTGGGCTCAGTCCGCAGTAGGGGGCGTACAGGAGGCAGCCGATCGTTTCTCTCTCCCTCCCTTTCTAAAATCAATAAAAACATATTTTTTAAAAAAAGAAATAATACATGCCCTCTATAATTTTCCTTACCCTGCACAGATAGGCCAGAAATACATAGTACTTTAAGCCAGGTTACATTATAATAAATTCCATTATTAGCACAATTAAAATTAATTTAATTTTACTTTACTTTGTTTACAGAGGGAGTAAAAGCCACGTCGGAACTTAGTATCTCTTGTGAATCTCATGACTGGAGTGCAGTTTCTAAGACACAATTTGAGCCCTGGCTGGGTGGCTCAGTTGATTGAAGCATCATCCCATATACCAAAAAGGTTGCGGGTCAATTCCCGGTCAGGGACTGTACCTAGGTTTTGGGTTCTATCCCTGTCGAATATAGGATTCAACTGATGGATGTTTCTCTCTCTCTCTCTCTCTCTCTCTCAACAACAAAAACCATCATGATTTGATCTTGGGTTGCCATAGGAAATTGAAAAGGCCTTTGACTATATTCCATTTGAATCCAGGTTTTATGTTGAGAGATTTATTTACGCTTTTGTATGTTTTTCATTATTATTGCTAACTTATAAAGGTTTCTTTTAAAAGTAGTTTCAAATATTTAAAGCACATAATCGGGTGAATTTTGACATGTATATATATGTATACAGATATGAAACCATCCCCACAATCAGGATGGTGAACCTTCCCCTCACTCCCAAAATTTTCTTTGCTACTGTGTAACCCCTCCTTGCCCACCCTGTGCTCCTTACAGGTAACCGCTGGTTTGCTTTCTGTAACTATAGATTAGTTTGCCCTTTTTTAGAATTTTATATAAATAGAACCATACTGTCTTTTTATTGTCTGGCAATATTGATGTATATCCTTTTAGTTCCAGTTCGGACATCATAAGAGATATTCTTGAAGAAGAGGAAGCCTGGGAAGCATCACATAAGTGAGTTCTTGTAATTATTCTGTGTGCATTTTGACCTGAGAAATTATAATTCTATACAGTTGATTTTCAAACAAAAGAATGTTTGTGCTCTCTGATTTAAGAAAGTAGTAATTCATACACCTCCAGATAAAGATTTCCAGTCTATTTCTTGTTTCTATATATTTCTGCTTATAAATGGAATCCCAGTGTAATAACTTGGAATATTTGTCAGGAGTTGTTTTTCTAAAGACAAATTGTTCCAATAGGTGATTATAGTTTGGCCTTAAGTACTGGCTCCAGAGTGTTTAGTGTAGAATAAATGCACTTTTACTTCTCCTATACCACTTAGGAATCTGCTGGGAAATGAGACTTTGGGATGGGGGTGGGAGGCCATTCCAGTTCCCACTGGTAGGTAAGCAGGAAAGGGACAGTGCCAAAAAATAATACATTTTCATTAATCTCCACCTACAGGAGTCACCTGTAGTACAGCAGGGAAAATTTACGATAATTTCATGATCGAATACCTCCATAGGCCATTAGAATTGCCTAGCAGTTCTCCTGTGCCTGCGATCACTTCTTTGTCCTGTTCTTCACAAGGATTATTTGAAAACTCAGTTTTTTTCAGTGGCTCCATCCCCCGAGCTGAAGACCTGGTTCTTTATAGAGAAAACCAAAGCCATTATAGTGGGATCTTCATCTCTCCAAACATATAAATCTGCCTGTATTTATACAGATTCAATCCTCATTTCCTCTTTCTATAATAAAGGGATGTCCTAACTCCTATTGGAGGCGAATTCCTTCTCCCTCATCCTACTCTCTTGTCAGGAACTTGGCTGTGTCCCTTCCCTCTTGTATAGGCAACCTTTCCTTCTCAACTGTAATTTTTTGTTGGGTTTCCTGCATGCTCAAATCTTTCTCATCCTAAAACCAGCCAACCACATAGCCAACAGACAAAAACACCTTACTCAGCCTCTCATCTTGCTCATTCTTATCCTCCAGCTACTATCGTATCTCTCCTTCCTTTCTTAATAGATTATCTCTACTTGTAGTCTCCGTTTCCTTATTTCCCACTTACTTCCTCTTCAACATTTTCAGCCAGTACCATCATTCTGACATAGCTTTCACTCAGGCCATTGAAGACCGCCATGTTGCTAAATCCAGAAGACATATTTTAGACCTTATCTCTCTTGACTTCTTAGCAGTGTTTGCTACTATTGACTTCTTCACCTTTCTTAAAAGCCTGTCTTCTTTGGCTTATGAGACACAATAACCTGTTTTCCTTTTGTTCAACTAGATCAGCGGTTCTCAACCTTTGGTTAGCAACTCCTTTGGAGGTCGAACGACCCTTTCACAGGGGTCGCCTAAGACCATCCTGCATATCAGATATTTACATTACAGTTCATAACAGTAGCAACATTACAGTTATGAAGTAGCGACGAAAATAATTTTATGGTTGGGTCACAACATGATGAACTGTATTTAAAGGGCCAGAAGGTTGAGAACCACTGAACTAGATCATTAGTTGTTGATGATCAAGATTAAATTGATCTCCTAATAAATTTATCTCCTGCCAGCTCCTCTCCTGAGCCCCAGATACATATATCAACTACCTACTTGATGTCTCTTCTTAGATATTTTTAAGACTCTTCAAAATCAACATGTGCAAAGCTGAACACTTAACCTTATCTACTCTCCTACACCCCCCTATATAGTTTTTAAAGCAAAATAAAAACATGATTCTCTTCTGGTGTTCCTTTTCAGCTAATTTCTTATACCCTCCCCTCGCCCCAACAATATCTGTCATTCTTGACATCTTGTTCTATAGTGCCTCTGTGATCACTCCTATAGATTTTACTTCTTAAATATCTCTGGAATCCATTCATTTATTTCTACCCCTCTCATCACCCTAGTTCATGCTACCATTGTATCTTGATTGGGCAATAAATTTGTCTATCCTTATTTTCTGGCTTCTTTATAATCTCATCTCCATATTGCAGTTAGAGTGACCTTTGTAAAATGAAAATCTGGTCACTGTTACTCATCTTTCTACTTTAAAAATAGCAGTAGCTTCTTCTTCCTTTTAGGATTGAGAAGGGACTCTTTAATATGCTTGAAAGGTCCCGCATGATCTGGTCTTCTCCAGTCTTCTGTCTTATCACACACCTGTGCGTTCCCTTTGTTCCTTAGATACAGGTGTCTCTTCATGCCACATGCCCACTCACCGCAGGGCCTTTGAACACGCTTATCTCTACCCAGAATGTTCTTCTCATCTTCCTTCTCGTTTACCTTTACCCTTCAGGCCTAAACTCGAGACCTGCTTCTCATGGAAGTCTTCTCTGGCCTTACCTTCTGGATCATGTCCATTTCCCCTACCAGGTTCAACATTGTAACCCCAGTGTCAATGCAGCTCTAACCCACAATAAATACTTTATATGTGTGCTCTCATTTAAATAACATAACAGTACTATGATGTATGGTTATTCCTTTTTATAATGAGGTAACTGAAGCTGAAAGAGGTAAGTCTCCAGCCCAATGTCACTTAGCAGTAAGTGATGAGTGATGGAGCTGAGAGTAGCTTAATGTGTCAAAGTCAACACTTTCAACCTTTAAGCTATACTATCTTTCCAAAGGAGAGATTTGCTGTGCTATTGACGTTTTGTAATTTCATAGCTGAGTCGCTAGGAAAATGGAAAAGTGTGGTGTATCCAAGGAACACAACATGAGTAGGTTTATCAGACTAACGAGATATTTGATGGTTCAAACTAGTGTTGCATGAAAGTTTGAGATTTTCGCTGCATTGCTTTCAGCTAAGCATTATTTAACTTTGCATTCTGGGAGAGAAGGCCACTCCTTCACTAACATGTTTTCTTTTTTTTTTTTTTTTAATATATTTTATTGATTTTTTACAGAGAGGAAGGGAGAGAGATAGAGAGTTAGAAACATCGATGAGAGAGAAACATCGATCAGCTGCCTCCTGCACATCTCCCACTGGGGATGTGCCCGCAACCCAGGTACATGCCCTTGACCGGAATCGAACCTGGGACCTTTCAGTCCGCAGGCCGACGCTCTATCCACTGAGCCAAACCGGTTTCAGCAACATGTTTTCTTTTATTGGGAATCATCCTGACACCAGCAGCTGTGACAAGCTGTAGCCCAGAATTCCTGAGCCCAAGTCCATTTTTAATAATGATGACCTCTTAAAGTCATTATTGATAAGAAAACACTTAGCAAACAAACCCCATCACTTGATAATAAATGTTAAAGCTGGAAAAGTGTAAGCACTCCTCTAGTCCAGTCCCCTCATTATGTGGAGAAGGAAGCTGGGTTCCAGAGGTAAATTGACTAGATCGAGGTCCACAGCTAGCTTGTGGCACTGTCAGGATCAGAATCCAGGACTCTTGACTTCAGCTGAGTGCACAAGAGTGTAAATAAGCTTATGCTATCATGTAGCTTTATTTATTTGTTTTTTGGATTTCTTCTTTAGAGGAGGGGAGAGAGAAACATTGATTTGTTATTCCATTTATTTATACATTCATTGGTTGCTTCTTGTATGTGCCCTGACTTGGAATTGAACCTGCAACCTTGGGACGATGCTCTTAACTGACTGAGGTACCTGGCCAGGGCTCCATATGTAGCTTTAGAGGCAGAATCAGGAAAAGCTTCCACAGCTTTACTTTTCAACAAAATGTAGCAATTCTTTAAGTGTCTGTGTTATCCTTCTAAGCATATTTTGTTATAAATTAATATGTTAATTATATTCCCCAGGGCAACCACTGAGAAATTTGAAATATAAAAGAAATGCAGTGGGCCCTAACCGGTTTGGCTCAGTGGATAGAGCGTTGGCCTGTGGACTGAAGGGTCCCAGGTTTGATTCCAGTCAAGGGCATGTACCTTGGTTGCGGGCACATCCCCAGTGGGGGTGTGCAGGAGGCAGCTGATCGATGTTTCTCTCTCATCGATGTTTCTGACTCTCTATCCCTCTCCCTTTCTCTCTGTAGAAAAATCAATAAAATATATTAAAAAAAAAAAGAAATGCAGAGGGATTAAAGTGGTACACTAGAAAATAAAATTTAAAATATAATAAAAGAAATGCAGAGGGATTAAAGTGGTACACTAGAAAATATTTAACACCAAAGAAGGCAGAGAATAGAGGAACCAAAAAAATGACATAAGCACTATAGAAAACAAATAGCAAATGACACTCATAAATCCTGCCTTGTCAGTAAATACATTAAGCATAAACAGATTAAACCCTCTATTAAAAGGCAGAGATTGGCAGAGTGGATTTTTTAAGAAAAAACATGATTGAACTATATATATGCTTTCTACATGAGATGCACTTTAGATTCAAAGATAAATAAATTGAAAGTAAAAGCATAGAAAAAGATACACCATGCAACAATAACCAAGAGAAAGCTGCCATGGTTAATATTAGACAAAAATAGACTTTAAGACAAAAAATGTAACTAAAGACAAAGAGATATTTTATAATGATAAAATGATCAATCCATCAGAAAGATACAGTAATTATAAGCATATATAAACCTCAGTATATACCAAAAAGCAAAAAAGATGAAAAAAACAAATCCCAAGAAATCCTTACAAGTTAGATGAGAAAAATGATGGAAAGGAAAACCACCCAGCAGCAAGGAGCAAAAGCCCATCAAAAAATTATGCCGATGGGCCTGGCCTCCCTGTTTGTGGGTGTAGAGCCAGGCAAGCTAAACACAGAGTGGACTTGCCTCCAGACAATGATCGTATTCATCTGAGGCCTGGCCTATAATGGAAAGAAGGATGATTCCTTGAGACAAAAGAACCTGGGAAGCTCCCTGCCTCTGCAAGTCTCAGACATGTATACAGGCTCCAGTCTGTCTGTTCATGTTCCCTTTAAAGTGTTGTGCCAAGAACTGTATGCAGTAAATGTTACAATGCAGAACTCATCCAGAGTCATCACTCTGATTATTTTGTCTTGCTTATTTGACTTGACAAAATCTTAGGTTTAATCTGTTTGCTTACTGACTGCCTTTCACTGTCCATTCCTTTTGAACCTAGTGTCCCTCTACTGCCATTAAACCATGGCTTCCTGTCCTGAATCTGGGAAATCATCTCTGGGCACATTTATTATCCTTCCTACTTTTCCTCTTCTAAGATTCAGCTCATGCCTCTTGTCTATGAACACATATTGAGTCGCCCTTCTATTTAAGTAGAAAGAAACCAAGGAGTTTTCTATCATCTGGTGACAAAACCAGAGACCCATCCTTCTTAATAGACCTTTATCCAGAGACAGAAATAGGTTTATCCCAAGGAAGTTGGCATGTTGGCCGATAAGTTTTTCTTTCCTTTGTTCCATTATTTCTAGGAAGTAAATACTAATAAAATCAGCAAGAACTTTACTTCTGAGTATTAGAGAAGGTAAATATCATTTAACTAATATCTCTCAAATTCCTAATATGTGCTACATTGTTATAAATTAATATAACTATGGTACTTGTTATATTAGGTACTTTCATTTTCATTTTATTATTTAATCCCTGTGATTGCATGGAAGAGAAGAAACTTTACTCACTGTGTTTTGTGAGAAATCTGTTCCCAGAAGGATGGTGAATTGTCTTGAATCTCCTAAGCCTAAGTCTACTGCTTCTCCCACTGTGCTACAGCTGTGAGCTGGCACTACATAGTAATTCTCTGGACTGAGTTCTTCATCAGTTTACACCCTGTAATAAGGAGTCTGGTTCCATTATTTTGTTGTTTGCTGGTAGCTTTTAGGTCTTAACCCTTCCTCTTCCTCTTCTGTCCCACATCTGGACAAGCTGATAGGAAATCCTGGGTGCTCCCTCCTTTGGTCCTGGCAAACCATGCAAGTCCCTATCTGTATATGGGAACCCTCTCTCTTATCCCAACCAAGGCAGTTTCCATTTTCAGACCAACTTGGAAAGCCTGCCCTGGTCTCACCAGAAAAGCCTCTTTATGTGAGTAATAAACCTTTCCATACTATGATTCTAGTACCAGTTCTGATTGGGGGGAGGTGGTGTTTTCCCAAACTAAAAAGCAATTCTAGAATACCAGCTGGGTGTCCTATAATTCAACTCAATTTTTAAAAATACGTTTTTATTGATTTTTAGAGAGAGAGGAAGGGAGAGGAATAGAGAGATAGAAACATCAATGAGAGAGAAATATCCACCTAGGAGTGGCATTCATTACAGGCTTGTATAGTGTAAGTTCAACCTATAAGAAACTGCCAAATTGTGTTCCACCAGCAATGTATGCGAGTTCTAGTTGCTTCATATCCTGGCCAGTACTTGGTTATTGTTTTACTTTTTATTTTATTAAGCCATTCTAATAGATATACAGTATTTTATTGTTTTAATTTGCATTTCCCTAAGGATTAATGATGATGAACTTCCTTTCATGAATGCCAAATCATGGAGGCTGGTATTTTATCCTTGGTTTTTTGATGAAATGCCTCCTCAAATCTTTTGCCTTTTTTGTGGGTTCTCTTCAGTCTTCCTGCCCTGCTCCCCACCTTTCTCCTGAGCACCTGGAGGAAGTGCCTGGAAGAGAGCCTGCAAGTGTCTGTGGACCCCCTGTGGCAGGGCCTCTGTACTAGCCCCTATCTCAGAATTATTCAAATGAACTAACAAGAATATAGTGACAAACTCCTAGATGGAGAGCAGGCTGACAGCTCTCAGGGATGAAGGGTGGGGTGGAGGGATTGGGATAAACAAAACAAAACAGAACAGAAAAACTCATGGCCAGGGACAACAGAGTGGTGATTGCCTGCCGGGTAGAGGGCAAGAATGGAGGGAAGCGGAGGAGGGGATAAATGGTGATGGACGGGTGGAGACTTGACTTGGGGTGGTGAACACACAATACAGTGTCCAATGATGTGTTGTACAACTATGCACCTGAAACCTGTATATTTTTGTTAACCAGTGTCACCCAGATAAATTCAATAAAAAGGAAAAAAATGTCAGCTGACAGCCACCTCTTTCTCAGTGCTCTGCCAGCAGTGAGGGGCTTATCTTTCTTTGGAAATTTGTTTTCATGCCTAACTGTCTCAGCTCTCTGATAGGATCAAGAAAAGTTATGATTATTTTGGACTATCTGGCTTTGTTTGTTATTAGGATGGGGGCAGTTTAGGTTGTTTTTTTTTTTTTGCAGCTTTCTAACATGTTAAGTAGAAGCCTAAACTGTTAGATTTTGATTCAGAAGAAAGGGGTTCAGTTCCTGGCTCTGTCACTTATGTCTATGGTCTTTGGTAATCACTGTTTTCTCAGTTGTAAAGTGGGAATAATAATAATTATTATATTATTTATAATTATAGTATCTACACTAATAAAAGACAAAGATCAACAAAGATGGTGGCTAATTTGCATACTTCATGCGGGGCCGGCAGCATGTGACACTGCCCACGGGACCTGGGTCCCGGGCCCTGGACCCCTGACCCGGCAAGGCGGAGCCGGCAGCGCCTGAGGCTGCCCGGGGGATCCAGGCTTTGGATCCGTGACCTGGCGAGGGAGCAAAGTGGAGGAGAAGGGAGAGCCCAGGTGGCAGAGAAGGGAGGGATCCGAGGGCGAAGCGGCGAAGGGAGGGAGTGAGGCAGAGGAGAAGGGAGCGAAGCTCACCTCGGTGGGCTTCGCTCCTTTCTCTGCTTCGCTCCGGTCTCAGGAAGCCCTATTCTTACAGGAATCTTCCTGCAACGGGCCTCTAGTAATATAATATAATAATAATAATTATTATTATTTTAACAGATTGGTCAGTGGAGTAGAGGGCTATTTAGAGGTTTAAATGAAATGATGTCTGTGAAAACACTTATAAACTAGAAACTGCTATAAATAGTAATGATCATTATTTTCTAAGATGCCAATTCCATTTTACTCTTTTCAGAAACGATCTTCAAGACACAGAAACAAGTCCAACACAGAATCGTCGGACAAGACCAGAAAGTGCTGAGATGGAGCCGAGAAATAAGAGGAATAGGAACTAGTGTGGCTTTGGCAACTTTCCCAGGGCAGTGATCCGAATATGGTACTTTCTGTTGCTGTATAGATTTCATATTCATAATGCCCACGTAAGGGTGTACATTCTAAATATTTTTAACCAAATTTTCATTCTTTTCTGTCTTTCTCGGGGGGAGGGGGAGAGGGAGTTACAAAACATCCTCACTTGGTCAGTTACCTTTTGCTGGGATATCTTTCTCTCAAATACTGACTTCCCATGTTCACCAGCTTTGCACAGTACACAGGCTTTTTTTTTGCAAAGGTTTTCTTGTTTGGCTTTGTTTCTAAATTTCAGAATGTCCTTAACCCATTCTCCTTCTCTTCCATGGAGAAACCCACTTCAGAAAGGATTCTTCAACCTTTTACTACAGGAGCAGTCGAGGAGTTAAGGCCTCTATTTCTAGAAAGGCAGAATGTCATAACTCACATCCTTGGTGTCAGCATCCTTGGTGTGTGTGTGTGTGTGTTAGTCTGAATGCCATCGTGCCCATTATAGCAGTTAGTGATGGTTGTTGCCTGAGTTTAAGGTAGTCAGTTGTTAGACCCATGTCTGACACGTTATTCAGATGTTAGTCACAAACAATAAATTAAAAACATTGGGCATAGTCTTCAGAAATGGCAGTGACAAAGGTTATTGTTATTCTTTCTTTTCACTTGGGTAAATTGAATTTTTAACACTTTGAATCCTAGCCATTAAAAGAATGCTGCAATAAATGGATTTTGTAAATGACTAGACTCTACATCAATTTAAAATCATGTGCTTGAAACAGTATCTTGAGTATAAGCTACAAATCATCCAAGGGGTTGGTCAGAAATGATCTCTGTGTGAAATGTGCACCGGTGCCCGTAGCTTCCAGAGTCCCTCAGGCCTCTCTGGCGTCTCAGTCAGTCTTCACCCGCCGCCACCGCCCAGCCCAGATACATCAGCTTTCCAGAGACAAGCTAGCGAATGTGGCAGTGTTAAGACAACAGATGTATGAATGTTCCAGGATGTTTGTGACTTCCGCTTTCCAGACAGTGTCTCCGTGGACTTTGCCATTTTGGTATGCTCTCAGGTTTCTGGGTAATGTGTGGAATCTCATTATAACTTAGAGTTAAGCGTTTTAACACTTAAATGGCCATTTGTTTTCTTTATGAGTTTTCTGAGCTTCAAATGATTGCATAATAATTTGTCATAGTCATTTAATCTAAAACGGGGGGTGGGAAATGTCCGGCCCTGCCAAGGCATTAGGGGTGAGTTAATTAAATGTTTGCCCAAATAATAGGCTAATTTTTAAGTTGATAATTGTGTATGGCCTGAGAATGATGTTATAAATATCCAAATGGCCCTTGGCAGAAACTAAGTTCCCTACCCCTGACCTAAAATCACGAGTGTGCACTAGGGAAACTAAAGGCGGCAGCACACACTGAATGCATCGAAGGATCTCAGGGGCAGTGCGTGAGCAATGTCAGACAGCGTGGGGCTTATCATCGATGTGATATTTACGATTGAGTTACCAGAAATTATGCTAAAAGGAAAAGTGCTTGTATCATTAAAAAGTACACAGTCTGCTATAAATTAAACTGGAAATTATTACTACACTGTTTGCAGCAAAATGAGTTTGCAAGGGAGCAGTGAGAGCCAAGACAGGGAGGCAGGCAAGTGAATTCACTCAGGTAATATTTAACTATCTACGCAGTGAGGTAGCAGGCAGCATGCTGAGCACTGGCAGTGCAGAGGTGACAGCGGCCGTCTGAAACCGTTTTCTCAGTGGGGAGGGGAGGACAAATTTGCTCCCCAGGGACATTGGGCAATATGTGGAGATACTTGGCTGTCACGACTGGGTTTGGGGAATTGGCACTAGTATCAGTGGGTAGAGGCCAGGAATGCTGCTAAATATCCTACAGCACACAGGCCAACCCCCATGGAGTGTTTGCTGGGCTGCCCTAACAAAGTGCCACAAGAGAATTTCCCCCCTCACAGTTCTGGAGGGTAGCAGCCTAAGATCAGGTTGTCAGTAGGGCTGGTTTCTTCTGGGAGCTCTCTCCTTGGCTCTCACTGGGTCCTCACGTGATCTTTCTTTTTTGTTCTCACATCTGTGTCCTAATCTCCTCCTATAAGGACACCAGTCATACTGGACCAGGGCCCATCTATATAACCTTGTTTTTACCCCAATTACCACTTTAAAGACCCTATCTCCAAATACATTCACATCTGAGGGACTGGGGGTTAGGACTTCAATATATGAGTGGCATTGGGGACAGGGACCCACAACTTCGCCCACAATAAAGAATTATCCAGTTCATAAAAACGTTGTGGTGCATATATACAATGGAATATTACTCCACCATAAAAAAAGAATGAAATCTTAACCATTTGTGACAATATGGATAGACCTGGAAGCTTTTATGCTAAATGAAATAAGTCAGAGAAAGACAAATACCATGTGATTCTACTTATATGTAGAGTCTAAATAACTAAATAAAAGAACAAACAAAACAGAAATAGACTCATAGATGCAATGGACAAACTGATGGTTGCCAGAGAGGGGATAGAGGGACCCAGGTGAAAAAGGTGAAGGGATGAAGTACAAGTTGGTAGTTACAAAATAGTCATGGGGATGTAAAGTACAGCATAGGGAATACAGTCAATAATACATAGTCAATAATGTTATAATAACTATGTGTGGTGTCAGGCGGATACTAGATGTATGAGGTGATCACTTAATAAATTATATAATTGTCTAATCAGTATGCTGTATATCTGAAACTAATATAAAATAATATTGACTATCAACTAATAAAAAAATTTTTAAAAAAAGAATGATTTGGTTCAAAATGTCATTGGTGCTGAGATTGAGAAATGCCCAATGTCAAGGACCTCCCAAGTCTGCTTTAAAAATAAAGGTTAAAGGGCATTTACTGAGCTCTGGTTGTTAACACTTAGCATACATTTAACATTTACACATTGAAAGGAAGGTATTTTTATATTTATTAGAGAATAAGGAATTTAAGGTAAGTGTTAAATCCAGGATTAAAACTGACAAGCTTCTGGTTTCACCTTTTAATGAAAATACGATCCTAATCACTAGTTTTTATTTTTTTATTTTTACCTCCTCACTCCCCGTAGGGTATAACAGCTACTGTGGGTGTGTCACCTCACAACAGTGGTGTTTATGTTTGAGGGCACAGGTAAGCTGCTGTATGTAATTTAGAAAGGACGGGTCTAGATGGTTCCGAGTGTCAGCCCATCCTTTCATCCTCCAATTTCTTCTCTTTATACCCTTCATTGAGAATCACTGGTCTAGTTGAAAAAGTAATTCACACACAAAGGACAATGTGGGTTACATAGGGAGGGTAGTATGGATTTAAAAACTGACATGTATGGTGAAGATTCATGTCAACAGGGGTAAACAAACAGTGAGCAGAGGATTTTTTTCCTTGTGGCCCTTGGCCCTGTAGAATGAAGAGAAAGCAACTGTCTAGACCAGTGATGGCAAACCTATGACACGCGTGTCAGAGGTGACACGCGAACTCATTTTTTTGGTTGATTTTTCTTTGTAAAATGGCATTTAAATATATAAAATAAATATCAAAAATATAAGTCTTTGTTTTACTATGGTTGCAAATATCAAAAAATTTCTATATGTGACATGGCACCAGAGTTAAGTTAGGGTTTTTCAAAATGCTGACACGCCGAGCTCAATAGGTTCGCCATCACTGGTCTAGACTATTACACTGATAGAGCGACTGGGTGAACAGAGCGACTGAGTTTTCTTAGAGCCAGGGAAAAGGCAGAAACAGTAGATTACAAAATCCTCAGCACTGATAAAAATAACAGTTCTTTAAATGAGACACATTTTTTCCTATTATATGTTTTTATCATAAAAGTTTTATATATATATATATATATATGCCTAAGCAACTGAACGACCGGTCGCTATGACACGCACTAACCACCAGGGGGCAGATGCTCAACACAGGAGCTGCCCCTGGTGGTCAATGTGCTCCCACAGCAGGAGCACCGCTCAGCTGACTGGTGGGCGCCAGATGCAGGGCTCACGGCTGGCCGCTGCAGCCTAGAGACCGTAGCAGAGTGGCAGCAAGCCTAGCGTTGGTGGCAGGCACAACGGGGCCGGATGAGCAGGAGCGGCAGGCAGCATTGGGCTGCTGGTTTCGGCCCAATCCCCGCAGGCTACGCTGAGGGACCCCGCTGGTGCACGAATCCATGCACCTGGCCTCTAGTATATATAAAAGCCTAAGCGACCACTCGACCAGTCTCTGTGATGTGCACTGACCACCAGGGGCAGACGCTCAACGCAGGAGCTGCCTCCTGGTGGTCAGTGTGCTCCCACAGCAGGAGCGCCGCTCAGCTGACCAATGGATACCAGATGCCGCTGGGCTCACAGCTGGTAAGCGCAACTGTGGCCGAACGAGCCTCTCCCCACTACTGAGCGGTGGCGGCAGCAGGCACAGCGAGGCCAGGATGAGCGGGAGAGGGATGGCACCGGCTCGGGCTCCTCCCTGGCCCCCTGCCGCTTCGAACACTACTACATCCCTTGGGGGATGTCGGATGGCCTGGCCTGCAGGGATCCCAAAACCGGCAGTGCGACATCCCCCAAGGGGTCCTGGATTGCGAGAGGGCGCAGGCTAGGCTGAGGGACCCCACTGGTGCACGAATCCGTGCACCAGACCTCTAGTTAATCATGAAATTAGAGGGGGAAATATCGGAGCCATTAAATTTATTATCATTTTGATAATCTTTGGTTTTAGTCTTACGGTGTGGAAACAATGAGACTACTTTCCCCGATTTACAGTGTCCCTCATAAAAATTTATTTCTCCCTCTTTCTCCTTCCCTCCTTTTTATCCCTTCCCCCCTTTTTGTCCCTTCTACCGTACCTTTCCTTTGCTCTCTCCCATCCCTTCTTTCTCTCAGCTATCATGACTTCCTGTCAAGTAGTGTGAAAAACAAAGATAAGCCTTGCCCTAATGGACCTTGTAGACCAGAAAGGGAGATGGACATTAATCACATAATTGTACAAATTACAGTT